TTTACAGTTTTGTAGACCGTACAAAACATTGCAATGTGCGTGTATAGCATAGCTGTAGTGACCCTGTACTGTGGATTTGGATTTACAGTTTTGTAGACCGTACAAAACATTGCAATGTGCGTGTATACCATAGCTGTAGTGACCCTGTACTGTGGATTTGGATTTACAGTTTTGTAGACCGCACAAATACCCAGGAATGTAGTAATATACCAGATATTGATTTTCATTTATGTTTGGAATGAAATATTCTACCAAACTTGATTTATGCGTGATTTGTACAGATTTCAAACCCCTTGATATCTTAGATTGCTGAAAAATTTATCCCAGCTTTTGGGTCAATATTTCAACAAGTTATCTATACCTCGAATATTAAACTTATGATGTTGAAGATACTCTAAGCACACTTGTAAAATAACATACAAATATTTACTAAAATATACCTTATATTTTGTAACTTTTTGTCATTGTGGTATTCAGTATTCTATTGAATAAAGTTTAGTCCTAGTGTTATTATAATATAATTAATATAATATAGGAACTTATCATTTTACCAGGAAATGGTGAATTTTGAAGTCACAAGGAGAACAATTATCACCAAAGCAATTTCTTAGGGATCCTGCATTAAAATCCTGTTTTCTGTAAATCATATGATGTCGTCAAGTACTTGTAGCGTTTTTAACATAATTTTTTTTCATCCCGGAATTGGCCTCCCATGTATTACAGTATGAGTAATGTTGGAAAATTCTGATGAAAAGCTCGTCAAGGCCAAGCTGGGTTTCCGGGGCCTGTCACAGTGACGTCACTGATCGATGAACAGGTCTGTACTGTGTCATCATTTAAATATATGAAAGACAGTAGTGTAACACCCGATAAACAACTAGATATATATGTGTCTTTGGTGACTTTGCAACTGAACGGGACTGCTCATTATCATAGAGGACACTGGTACATTGTCTCTGTTACCAAAAGTGTTAGTAAAAACCTTAAAACCTGGGTAAGACCAGCCAGATAGAATGAATGTACACGTAGGGATTGTATTTCGTGTGACCAAACCTAACGCTGAATCAGACAAGACGTTTTCGTGAGGCTAAAAATTGTCTAGTGCGAGTTAGAGCAGTTTTAATCTTGTGTATTGGAGTATGTTTTATCTATGGTATTACGTACCCAGGGATTCGCTAGACAAATATTTAAAATACTTGACTGTCGGGTAAAAAACAAACAAAAGGCTGACCATACGATCTTATATCGTATAGGATTTAAGGAAAATTGTTGAGCATTCCCTATAAAATAGTGAATAATTTGTTACCGCAAGTCTCATGGTAGGAAAAAGACTCGTAATCGATTTACTTTTTCGTTGTAATGTCCCCAGAGGCAAAAAACACCAACCGTTCAACTTCGTACATATTATACAAATATCAAATATTCGCCCATTAGCACGATAATTCGAGTAAATATCTTCCGATTTCCATACAATTTAGTAAATACCCCCGCCACATCAAACCTGCAGACTAAACTAATTTCCATTTGCCGGATTAGATTAACACTAAAATGTCTCCTTAAAAATATCACATTTTTGTTCCCTATTTAAATATAGGCCTAATTAGTTTAACGAGTACTTAGGTTTAATGCAATAGGGAGGGTAAAAAAGTGTTTTTTTATGTTAATAGTTTGGTAAGATATGAATGCATTTTCCGAATTGGATCAAAACATGCTCATAAACAAGCAAACTACAATAGTTTACTTATTGTCCATAAAAATAACATGGGAATTTTAAATTAACAACTTTTTGGAATTTTTTCCGTAGCTATTAGGTGCATAATGACGCTTCAATATACTAATTTTTTTTCTAAGCTCTACAAAGTGGTTTAGAAAGAAATTGAAAAGTTTTATGTTTTTTGGGTCAAAAATGGAAAAAAGCCAATTTTTACCCCATAAAACCCACTATTAACCCTCGCTCCCATAGTCCGTTCATGCTGGTTCAAAAATCGGGTCATTTTTGTTCGAGTTATTGTGCTAACGGACACATATATTCTATTCTATTCTACTCTATTCTATTTTATGAGTACGACGGTAATAGCTTATATGGGAAATTCGCTAAAACGTACAATTTCATGTTAATTCGAATGCTTTAGAGAACCAGTATGATTTGACTATAAAAGCAGAGTTTTATGAGTCCGGTTACGGTCTAAAAATTAGTTCATCGCATTTTTGACACCTTAAAAGTAAAAATTTTCAATTTATTTTTCAACAATTTTGTAAAGCTTAGCAAGAAAAAATATTAGTTTGCAAAAGCGTTATTAATTGTACGCCTTATAAAAATATGTAAAAAACTGAGAATTTAATATATTAATGTTTTTTTTATGGAGAATAAAATAAGCTGTTGTAGTTTGCTTGTTTAGAGATCATTTTGATAAAATCTGACATATCTGTTTCCTAAAAAATACACACCCTTTTGCGAAAACCTAAGTATTCATTAAAATTAATTTTATTTATACAAGAAATAAATCTGACGATTCTCAGGGAATATTTTGGTGATAATCCAACCAGATAAATGAAAAAAAACTCACTTCGTCTGCAGGTTTCCTGTGTTTTTAAACACCTGTGTAATAAATCCAGCACGTTTAAACGGCGTTTTTACATCTGATAAAGAGCGCTTAAAAGTTGAAAAACGAATTTTAATATGTACGTGACGAATAAAACCCCAACTTCCCTTAGGATATATCATGAGAACATCATTAATCTACACAATAATCAAATACACACGGTACATTATCCCTTTCGGAAGCATCGGATGCGTGAAAGCACATAATGTCGTTTGTCTGTCATCACATTACTGTTAACATATAGCATTTGTCACTGGACGATACATGTTCAATCCCCAGTCGTACAAACTTGCCATTAATCGAATAACGAACTGTATATTACGGTTGCATTAAGGAAATGATTGCGCATGCATGATCAGTGAGGCAGTGTGCATTAATTCATCGCTGTATATACTATAATTACATTCCGTTTAATTACCTATATTAAACTGATCCGTAGAGAAACTGTCAATGTGACAGACAGCAGGTGGCACGGGACATCACACGTTATTGCTTGTCTACAAACATGAGGCTACTTTTCTTCTCTACAAATCAATCTACAGTATATTAGTACAAAAAGTTTTCAATCTTTCCCCAATCGGATAGAGAGTAACTGAATTTAGTGGTAAATGTATCTGAACTTGCCCTGATAATCTTTACGTTTTCCATTTGTTGTTTTTTTATGTGATACAGTACTTTTTTTTGGCAGGTACCAGTTTTGGGAGGGGTGGTCTATAGGCAGTCAGATGTACCTGAAACTAAAAAATAACTAAATTAACTTTCTTCCTAGAAATATAATATATAGCCTATTGTTGAATTTTAAATTCCAATGGTCATAGTTCTATAAAACTATTTTAAAATATGACATTTCTTACTTGAAAAGAAGTCACAATAGCTATTGTGATAATGATATATGTAGAACATTGCTTTATACTTTTATATTTATATATATATTTTTTAAATTATTAACTTATATTTAGTTTCCCGTAGTAGTTTAGTGTAAACAATATGGAAACCCTAGTTAGGTTGTCAATCATGGCTTATTGAGTTTACTTAGTGACTCAATATTATTTTTTCACTTTTTCATCTAAAGTGGAGTTGTATTGAGGTTAAGTGGGGCAACTCTGTTGGAGGGTACAAGCGTGGGAAGTTTGTACCATATGGATGCGGCGTTGCGAAAGAATAGGTTGAGTTATAGGTCCGGCATGGATTAGCTGTCGTTGTAAATGTATATGAGGTCTCGCATGGTGCTGGCCGCCGCCGCCGCCGCCGCTGAGGTGTTTTACACCTCAAGCACGCCGTGCACTCTCACAGATACAAGCTTAAAATTGAATTTCGTATTCTTAAAAAACCGCTCGTAATTTTTACTTCTCAAGTTAAAAGAAAACTAAAAATAATATAATAAGAAATATTTTGTTTCAGTACACACATTTCTGACAAAAACCTTAAAAAATAATACAAACAAATACAGAGCATTGTAATAAACATGCAATCTCTTGATATATAAGCATTATTCTCATAAGATTCTAATAAATATTATAATGTAAGAATTTAATGTGAACGATATTTCACAAAAACCTTTTTAAGTTTTTAAGTTCACAAGTCATTTTAAGTTTTCAACATTATCGTTTAAACCTCACCGTTTCCACCTTTTATGTTCAAAAATGATAAAAACAATTGTTGTGATAGGGGTGATAGTAGATAAGGAGAGTTAGAGTGATCAAACCAATAAATACCTTTCAGTTTAACTACTGTATAGGGTTTATTATTGTGTTTGTTTCTCCCTTGGGTATACTGTGAAGATGAGCCCTCACATTAGTAGTGAGTAGCCTACTGGACAGTCCACCAGCAAGAGAAATTTTAATGCTGTTTTGTGACAGTTAATAATTAATTCGCTTATTCGACGCGATATTGTTCACAACCAACAGGATGATGACGATGATGATGCATGCGAATCAACGAATGAGCTCATCCTCTTTCACAAAGGCCCACCCATAGTCACAAACTATCCAATACAGCGTGCAGTTGCATATTGTTTGCCAAATGTCGCAGGTGGGGTGAAGCGGTATAGCCGCAGCAGCTCATTAATAAACAACCCTCCGTGTGTCCCACGTAAGTTGATAGCCTTTTTTTGCACACGCGAGTCCCCCGCCCCCACCCCCGCCCCTTGTCGTGAAAAGTACCCAAACTCTGTGGTCCATCGCATCGACCCGCCCCACAGATCGTGTGCCAGATTAACTGTTATCTGTTGGCGACTTTTTTACTCGGTGGCGTGACAAGAGGCAACGCAGATATAGTAGACTAATGAAATGAATTGGCACAGTTAGAGACAAATATTATAGTGGTGTAATAAAACAAAATATTACTGTATTGATGCTTTGTTGTGGACGGTTATGAGTGATGGTATTTGTGTTGTAGCGACCGGCGTCTGCAGGTAGCGTGAGCAGTAGTGTGACAGAAGACAGCAGTCCTGCCCCCGGCCCCGCCATGACCACGCTGGAGAGTGTAGCCAACTCCATGGCCGCCAGCCTGGCCGCCGTAGCCGCCCTCAGTCAGGGGAAGCCACCCGCCGCCCTCTACCCGCCCTTCCCCTGGTACCTGGGACCCGAGCCGCCCAAACCTGGCGCCTCCGAACAGCCTCTGGACCTCAGCAAGAGCTCCGTCTCCAAGTCACCACCCCCCGCCGCCCCCGCAGAGCCGCCCCCGGACACGCCGCCCAGCCTGCAGCGGCTCGTACCCTCCCCTAGCCTCAAGGTGCCGGCCGCTATCAACAGGCTGTATAAGTAAGTAACACTCGATATATATAAAAGGTTTTATCATATTTACTGAAGAAACTACAAATTATTCTGAAATTAAATAAACCTTACATTTTTACCAGTTTTAAGAATTAGTTGGCTTACAACAAAAGCTTATTTTAAAGTTTTATACACATAACAAATATTGACTTATGCTTATCTTATTCATGTTTGAACGTATACAGTACTGAAATAAATTTATAACAATCGTCGTAATATGCCATATTGGAATAAACTTGAATGCGAATGTTAATTTAAACACGTAGATTCTTTTGGGATCTTTTGTTCAATAAATAATTGGTTTCATAGAGTGAACGTAATTGAAGCTCTGTTGATAGTATAATTTGGCGGAAATGCTATGTAATAGTCACGAAATGTGTTGGTTGCCAGTTACAAGTTTTAGCATCAAGTAAATAAAACACCACATTCTATGGTTTATGCGTTCAGTTTAACACACAAGAGCTTAAGATATTTTTCAGATACAGTTCTAGTTTATGGTTGAATTATTAAAGAATTTGAGCTTATAATTAGGGAGCTACTCATTAATATTGCTATACTCATGGATACTTATGAATGGAAGTGGCCACGTAATACTTGTAGTAACAGCTTTATTATTACCAGCTACAAAACACTTTGTAGCAAAGAAACTCTTGGGGGAAAAATACTCAACAAAGTTATTAGAATACGTTATGTGCGTTGTAAGTGTGCCTTTAGTAGGTAAAGCAGTTTGATTGATTTCAGAGCGAAGCCGCGACTGAGCGCGGTGGCGGGGCGACGCACATACACGGAGGATGAGCTACAAGCGGCGCTGCGGGACATACAGAGTGGCAAACTGGGCACTCGGCGAGCGGCGGTCATCTACGGCATCCCGCGGTCCACTCTCAGGAACAAGGTGTACAAGCTGGCCATGGAGCGAGAGCGGGACTCGCACCTTGTCAGCCCAGAACAGGTAATCATCAGCAACAAATCAAATACCGTATACAATACTTAATAGTAAAAATATATATTTAAGCGAAAGGATAATATGACAAATGAAGAGCACTGCATTAAGACCTTAATAAATTGAATCAAATAAATATCATTTATTGGACGGCCAAACGTCATTGATTGAGTAGTTTAGTTTAAATATAAAATAATACTAATGGTTAAATTAGTTTAAAACGATGGCACATTTTGTTCCCAGGTGGCAGCAAAAGCAAGGGCTCTGCTAGGAGACAAAGATGACGATGATCAAGAAGATGACGATGACAAAGACTCTGGTGCAGAAGAAGAGCGCGAGGTTGAGAAGGCTCTCATGAGGCCAATCATCTCAATAGAGGACTTTATAAGACTTTCGAGTGAAAGTGGAGGGTTTCCTGGGACGGATTCGTTAAGAACACTTTTACAACATGGGAATAAGACCTTTTCAGACAAAAAAGAAGATGGATCGTCTTCACCCCCGGTGTACCCCATGTATCCTCCTCCACTGTCTTCAGAATTGTTGAATGGACTGGACCATTCGGCATTGGGACCGTACATCAATCGTTTACTAGGCGCGAACCCTTTGGGAACCGTGAACCCTTTTACGATGGGTAGTAGGAATTCTCCTCCTCAGAGAAGCCCAACAGAATCACAAAATGACTTAAAAATGTCTCATCTGGAGTTAGTAAGAAGAATGATGCTTGAAGAGAGACTTATACAGGAAGAACAGCAGAAAAAAGACAGAAGTTTTATAAACGGATCACGTCTTGGGGAGCCTGGCCCGTCTTCCAGCATTGCCCAGGATGATGAAACATCCGGTTCGGGAACACCACCAAATGTGATATTAAGAATTCCGTCCTTTAAACCAGTCCCTAAAAACAGCCCGGGAGATCATTCGATGTTTCCTTTAGGAGTGAAAATAGGGGAATCTAGTCAGCATTCAGTAATTTCTCCTCCTATAAGTGCTGGCAGAAGTGAATCTTCGTCCCCTACTTCGATTGGAAAAGGCATTAGTGTTAGTTTGAAAGATGTCATAGCTAAGAGCATTAGTCAAAAGTTCCAACAGCCTACAGACTTACATCATCTTCCTCATACACCTCATGGGTTAGATCATTACAGGAGAGCAGACTTTTCTCAAGCCCTTGGATGTAGTTCTCCTATCATGAGGAATCACAATAACAATCATGTTGATGATAGAAAACTGCACCATGCGCCAACTTCAAAGCCACCCACAAGTGGAACCAACTCGGGCACAACATCCGGAGGGAAAGGAACTAGGCCTAAAAGAGGAAAATATAGAAATTATGATAGGGACAGTTTAGTTGAAGCAGTGCGAGCTGTTCAAAGAGGGGAAATGAGTGTTCATAGGGCGGGGTCATATTATGGTGTTCCCCATTCAACATTGGAGTACAAAGTAAAGGAGAGGCATTTAATGAGGCCAAGAAAAAGAGAGCCTAAATCAGTTCAAGAGGAAATTAAGCTTAAAGAAGATCCTATTGCTGCTAGAATATCTCCAGCCATCAACGCCTCTGATAAGTGTAAATTGTTACCTACATCAAAACCGCTTAAAACGCCATTCACCCCTCAAACCCCTTTACCCACAACCCCTAATGGTTTGAAGATGCCTCCTATATTTGATCCTTCTCTACCATATAGTGCAACACCTCCCTTTCCTTTCTGGGCTCCAAATCCTTTCCCCCATATCCCAATGGAATATCCTAGAAATCCAAGCTTTCAACCTACTCCCGATCACTTCTTTGCATCTCAAATGATCCAAAGACTTCAGGAAGACTCAGCTAGAACGCCACTAAGTCCTCCCCCCACACTAGGAAAAACAGCAAGAGAGTTAGCTGAAACTCTCTATGACGGTACAGGTGCAAATGGAAGCTTTTTAGATGGAATAATCCGATCTAGCTTAGAATCAGGATTGTCTGCAAAAGTGAAAGAAGGAGAGATGAAGCGTCCTGAAGACATGTCCAACAAGGCCTTGTTGGACCAACTATGTCGAAACAGTCGAATGGCTCCACTACCCAAGGCAGAGCCAAGCAGTTCTGATGAGGAGACAACCAAGAGAGCAAACAATCAAAAACGACCTAGTGAAGATTCTTCCCCCGTTCCCCAAGACTCTGTAAAAGTTGAAGCGAAGGATCAAGAGCCTGAAGACTTAGACCCTACACTGCGAGCAGAAGTGAAAAAGGAATCCGATATAAATACAGAAGATTCTAACATAAAAACTGATAATGCCGATGAAAGTGCCTGTGATAGTAACCATACGATAAAAAGAGTAAAACTCGAAGGAGAGACATAGATCTTGTTTTGAGACTGATAAAATGTCATTAATGAATTTAAGGTAATACACCTTGATGTACTGATTATGTGTTGTCTCTAAATTTAGTTTAATGGGCTGTCTGTTATTATTCGATAGTTTGTTTAGAACATTTTCATATGAAAACGTTACGGTTTCGATTAGTTTTGTATTTATACTGAATTTTATTACCATAATTCTGTTATATTTACGTCTTCTGACAATCGCCTTGTTGCTAAATCTAAATTGAGTGCACTGTAGAAATTTATTTCTTTATCGACTAACTTCAAACATGAAATAGAGGTAATACAATGGAGAAATTCAACTTAAATGAGAAATAAGCATGTTTTTGAAACTTAAGTAAATGTTGAAGATTATGCATAATATTATAAATTTATTATATTACCAAATTTATCTTATTCTAGTCGTAAATATCAAATGAAACTAAACTTCTACTTTAATGTGTTTAAAAATATTATCCGTGATTCATGCAATGTGCTTATATTTCTAGCGTAAAGTTTAAAATATGCTTCTTTCTAAAGCTTTTTTGGAAATGCATTTTTGTGTGTATCCAGGTTTGGAAGTGTGATATGTGTTTAAAAGTTAACAATTACAGATATATTACGGTTTATCACATATTTGCATATATCTTTTCTATTAAAATCTGAGACTATTTATGTAGTATAATATCCATCTGGAGCTCCCCAAGAAGTTCAAAGCAGATATTACAGTATGACGCAAGTACATGTTCTAAAATATAATTTTGTAAATTTGATGTAAAAGATTTCTTCACCTTTCTTCTGGCTGTCCGTAAATGTCATTATCGTCATTAACTACATATACAGTAACTACATAATATCTGACACTAATCCATGTGGTCTTGTCAATGTTGTATTTATATACTATTTATCATAAGAAAGAATGTGTTCAGTGTACAATTTAAGGAGGGGTCTTTTTGTATTAATGTGAAATATTTTAGTGTGATTGGTGGTGCACGTTTACTCAAAACGTGATTTTTTAAATTTGTAAATGCTGCTTTGATGTTTTATTAAAAGTTCAGAAAAAATATTCCAAAATCTTGGGCATCTCCAAATGATTTTGACTATCTGTGATGATTCCAAATTTGATGTATATTTTCTCTATCCATATCTTTAAATTTAGAATAGGTAATGAATTTTATGGTACTGGTAAATTATACCAATTTGTGAATCTTTTAAATTTTTTACCCAATCATGAAACTGAAGTGCAATTAGGATGATAATGTGTATTTTGCTCTGTATGAATGTATGTACATATTTAAAAGAACCTATAAGCTGAGTCTATCCACATTTTCAATCTTGTTAAAATGCATTTAATTTGTATACCTTATTTTACTTCTAAGATTTAATGGCATTCCCTTATTTACTTAATGTATTGGTTATATTAGAAAATACGTTCAGTCAATTGTAATCTTCATATCGAATGTAGTTAGGTTTTTTTATACAAGACCAAATACTTTATTTTCATTTTACAAAATCGTAATACTATAAGAAGACAAGTATTATTTTTATATGCAAGGAATAGCCTTTAGATAATAATAGTTCACTTTAAGCCCATACAGTAACCCTTGTGTGTCCTTATTAATAAAAAAAAGTATTAGTACTTATCATGGTATAACAGATTTGAAAAATATTGTTTTAAAAGTAGAACCATAGACTAACCGTTTGATCTATGGTAGAATTTCTTTTAGGAATAAGAACAATGATCAATGATTTGTAGCATACGTCGTATAGGCTTTAAATTACATCAAAATACAAACATATCAACTGAGTTAGTCGTATATCTAAGGATGAATACATTTATCATCTTGTCACTTTAGCTCATGTTACTTTTAATGTTTCCCCGTACTTTCTTTTTACCATCACTGTAATTAAACAGCTTATATTTTTGGGACCAAAATGATAGTGCATTCTTTGTATTATGGCATGTTCAACCACATAATTTGATGTTCGAAGTGACCTTTTGCTAGTTTAGTTTTTATAACATTTGGCCATTAACTCTCATCCTATATTCTTCCTTTAAATGTAACAAGACATTTACTTTACTTCAGATTACATACAATGTTTGACCATTAAGTAATTCCATAGGGGTTCAATTATCTTTTTAATGAATACAACTGTTGGGATGGTGAAATACGACATTGCCTTAACATTTACTAACAAAATGTGTGTGTTTTATTTCGTAAGAATGATTTGGAAATGTGGATAGAACGTTAGACAGTACATAACCTAGGATAGCCAAGTGACAGACCCTACATATCCAGTGGACAGTGACAGTGACAGCATAGTCGGTACAACACATTCCTAGATACAGCCTACAGCCTGCAAGCCTCCGCTCTGCTTACATTCCGCATTCGGCCGGACATTTTACCCAGTATTTCTTTCCTATATAGGCGATAAGTTGTTTTTATCAGACAAAGTGCGTATACGCGCTTTACAGACTCAGATGTACATTTATGATTCCGATATGCATTTCAATGGCTCCTCGACCACGTGTATGTGTGTGTGCCCGTGTGCGCGTATTTTTACAGACAGATAGTTAAGTTTTTGCCGTATACTTTAACTGTGCAATGCTTGTACGTATTTCAGTTTGGTTATTTTCATTATTATCGTGTGAAGTTTTTATGAATGTGATATATTTGTTGTTGTTGTTGATTATCGCAGTACCCCGGTGTTCTTGTAAAATAGAAATCTTTATAAGCGATGTGTTGTGTTGTTAATTTGTTTTAAACTAGTTAATCTATATCAGTATGTAATTGAAGGAAACTGAGCTGTCTGTTAGTTAAGATTGACTAGTAATTTGTTTTTATACCGTGTTTTATTTTTAAGATCTCTGATGTTTTTTATATTTTAACATGCCTTCTTTTGTCTGGTTAGTCAAAACAGTTAAGATTGTGCCATTTTTCCAAGGTAACAGGAAACTGTTGTACAGTTCTCAGCTAAAGTTTGGATAATATTTCTAACTTACCATACACTGACGTATCAACAGTTTAGAATAACATTATTTTATTAAATTTAAACTGACATTCGATTTAATACCTATTAAGCATTCGTAATATTGTCTGTTATGTCCCAATGAGATTTGTTATGAATAAATTCTTAAATTATAATAGAATGAGAATGATTGTTATGATTATTAAATTCCTTTAGCTGATGACAGTTATTATCACAGTTATTTGTATGACATTTAGTTTTTATTTTATAAAATAAAAACATTTCTTGTGTTATTTGATTAAATGTAAACAAATATAATGTGAGGTTCCATATTTTTCATTTAAATTGTTTTTAAAATATATCTTAACAATTATTTATAATTTAAAACAATCAAAATCATGTTTTTCGTTTGTGATGATGAAATTATAATTATTTTAAAGAAGGGTGGATGTAAAATACTACGTACTTAACAAAGAAGGTATTGTTATCCATATGGAACTGTGTTTGGCTGTAAGATAAAACTTGTTTGAATCAGTAAAAACCGAATAACTATACACAAGTAAAGTAACTTTAAAGAACCAGTACACAATATTTTAAATATAGAATACAAACTTTGTTAAAACTACGTGGTACTCATTACATGTGAATCGAAATGTATATAACAAAACAAATTAAGATGTATATTTGTTTATATTTTTAATTTATAATGCTGGCATGCCTGTATACCATGTAAAATACACTCTACTTAATGATCAAAACCTGTGTTCAACTGCTCTTTGTTGATGTGAGCAGTTTATATACCTAGCCCAGTTAGATTGTTAGCCTAGGAATACGAGACTGCAACCGCTAAAGCTACATTCGGTTTCAATTTTCACTTTTGTTATTATATTACTACGTTAATAGTTGGTTTTAGGCATTTTAGACAAACAGAATATTTTAATTGATTTTTGACACTTGTTTAATATTGTTGATTAATTATTCTGTGTTCTTTTTTGAGGTGGGACTATCAGCGATATCATGCTATGATAACTCTTTGACCATACGAATCTCTTTTTAAACTCAATAAATGTTCTTATTCATAATCTTGCATTTAGACTATAAGATTTTTTAAATAAAGTAGTTTTGAATAATAATTTTCAAACTAAGGAACTACTAGAGCCTTTGTAGTTATGCATGGAAATTAACTTATGCCAAAACAAATGCTTATAAATCGAAAAAAAATATGTAGCTTACTACTATCATTGAGTATACTTGTACGAGTATACTCAATGCTACTATACATTTCAAAATCCTTGTTTTGAAAATTTTCCATCAACATCAAACGGTATTGATATTTTCATGACTACTTCTAATAAGTAAAAAAAAAAAAATAAATAAATACAATTTATACTAAAAATGAAGCCGAAGTCCCTCCTCAGGTCCTAAACTGACTGAACTTTTGACCCATTTCCAAGTGCATTCGGTATGAAAGTGTCTGGACGATTTGAAGTATGTATGCGATTCGCTCACTTATGTTTAAATCACACTTGCAAAGATTAATTTAGGCAACTTTCATGATTATAGAGTGGGGACCAAGCTTAGAAGCTGAAGGTTTTCCAGTTCACACTTAAACTTAACACTAAAACTATAGAAAAGTTAATAAATTGTTTAGTTTATCCAATAGCTGCAACATGCAATAGTTAGTAGTTTACCGTCTCCTCAATGGCTATCAAAGTGTGTATATGTGTTCTCCTAATTTGTCATGAAATTTTAGCAAATTGATTTATGTATTTCCATCTCTAATTTACCTTTTTTAGTAATCTACGAATACTAATTTTTTATTAAATATATTATTTTTTATGATTGGGAAAGACTACAAGTCACTCAATTGTTTTGGATGGGCGTAGAATTAATTTATTCACACGTCTGTATTTGAGTTTTTAGTATCAATGTCAACATGAGTTGTATTAAATCAAAATGTGTAGAATCTATCTTTTCTATCTTTACACTGAAAATAATTCAGTTAGTTCGGGACTGAATTTAAGGCGAAGAAGAATTCATTTGCACATTGCATCTCGATGGCTGCTGGGAGTATTTTGTTTATCACAATATTCTCACTTACTTGACTGAGTTACATATCCTTGCAAGTGTGATAGTTACTGACAAAATGTTTGCTTCATAAAAACTGAAGTATTTTTTTATTATTGTACTTTACATACTTATTAAACAGTTATAAACAAAACAATAGTTTTATTTTGTTCCAAATAACCTTCAATTGATCATCCGATTCTGTTGATTTTCATGCAACAGATAATTAATTATTGTATGGCTAAGTTATTACTATTAGCCCGATCTTGATTCATTACTGTTACTTTTTCTAGTAGAATTGGTCTTATTATTTCACAGTTTAAATACATAACATAAATTGTAACATTCAAGCATTTCAAAATATAAAAATCAACAACATTTGCGCTAACATTTGTGTCGCTTAGGCCAATTGGTTTTAAACCAAAAATAAATGAGATTTCCAATTTAAATTTTATCAAGTGGTTTGAGAAGATGATCTTCAAAACAAATTGATTTACTATCGTAATTAATTTGTTATTGTTATTTTAATGACCCATCCCATTTTAATTTGGATAAAAGTGGCCAACGTGTTAAATATTTTATAACAAACTATATTACTTTTTAGACAGCCAATCACTTCAATTTTCAAAATAACTTGAACGAGAAAGTAACACAATATAATTAATAGAGAAAAAAATCTTTATTAAAACCATGTAATCAGAATATTTTAATTGTTTTTAATCTTTTTATAACTGACCAAATCGATTATCATTCATTTTTAAATATTTTGATTGATAACTTCGTGCTGTTGTGTATTCTGCAAAATAAAACAACTCTTAAAATGCCTTATTACCCAAAGCAATAGACCGAAAACTTCACAGCCTACTACCATAGATTAACCAACACGAAGTAGACTTCCCATTGTAGATTTCGAAGATAGTTTTTCGTGTCTAGTTCATATCTAGTGACAATGATCGCTAGTGTCGACGAAATTTTGTTACTATTATTTTATGGTTAATTTCATTATTTGCGCTTTATTGTTTGGTTATACAGGGTGATTCACTAAAAGTGTTACAATAGGTAACTTGTTAGGCATTTATTTTACAGAGAACTTAAAATGAACACCTTACCTTATTTTTTGTAACAATTTACAAGATGCTATTTTACTTTTAAAATGTAGCCGCAATTTTCTAAAATGGCGGAAAACTTTTTTTTTCATGGCAACCCCCACTTTTTATGATAGTTTTGCACTCTACGTAAAGTTTTAAAACATGTTTGCTCTTGTCATTTTTTTTATAAACCTAACTGAAACCTAATTCCTAACTAAACCTAATTCGTTTCAGATTTACAGCCATAATAAGCCAAACATAACCATGCATATTGAATGCTAAATATTTATTTATTATTCAAAAACTAGAATAACAATTGATCAGCTGAATACTATTCTTCTATCAGCTTATTATCTTCTTCTTTAATGCGAAACTTTACTGAAATGTTGTTAACAGTAATACAATATCCATGGTTATGTGTGGCTTATTATAGCTGTAATTTCAAAACAGTTAGGTTTATCAAAAAAATCTTTTACAATTTTACGTAGAATCCAAAACTATTATAAAAAGTAGGCTTGCCATGAAAAGATTCAGTTGTCCACCATGTTGGAAAATGGTGGCAACATTTTAAATGTAAAATAGCATCTCGTAAAATGCCACAAAAAAGAAGGCAAGTTGTTCATTTAAATTTCTCTGTAAAATAAAATAAACCCCTATCAACTTACCTTTTGTAACACTTTAAGTGAACCCTGTGTAACTAGGAAACGAATTATTGTTTATGATTAGATCATTATTTGGTTAGACAAGGTTTTAAACTACTGAAATGACGAGGAACAAAATTGTAAGCAGAACACGACTCGACACTCTGCAGTGCACCGGATAGAGCTAACAATAACGTTGTCTTCAGCTGATCCATAAGTATGAGACATTTTTTATCCATGCTACTACCTGTCATTTTGTATGAAAACTATAGTATATTCAAAATGTTTCTCTACAAGGCGTGTCTAGAGATCACTGTCTACGGGAAAACCCCTTTGCCAAAATACTAGTAAAGGTGTTGGGGGAGAAACCTAGGAAATATTGGCTATTGTCCCGTTGGAATCTACTTTAAAATGGCTTTACAAGTTGTTATACGTTGATCAGTGATCGAACTAATCAGATTTGCCTCATGTTCTGATCAACACATGCAAGTGTATTTACCGCGAGAGGCAGTTTTTCCACCAACATATGATTGCCAGGTGTAGCTGACCTTGGACAAGGACCGGTAGAGCCGAAATGCGGAGAAGAGAGGCTCTCTGCCCAAAACAGCCAAGGTCGTCTCCCCGACTGGTTAATATGTTTTTGTTTTTATTCGGATGCAATCGAGGCCGCAGTTTCGGCAGCTGTGCGGGCGATGGCTCGCCACTTCACGGTCAACTCTTCTCGTGTTGGCCTAGGTCGTGGTCACACGGCGGCAACCCAGCAAGTCGCTTCATCCGTGCTTGGCGGGCTTTTAGACCAGAGTAGAAAATCCTTGTTGTTTATAGCTACAGTAGAATAGTATATTTAACTACTAGGGCCTAAAGTGACTATTCAACAAGAGTTCAAGATAAGTGACTTAGTATGGAAAATGATCGAGGATTGAAAAGATACTTTTCAAAAGAAGGAAAGAAAGATAGATATATATTATTGTTTGATCCATTTTGGTTGGATGTCTGTGGATATCTGGGTGAATATGCATTTCGGATATACCTTCACGTAAATTTTTTTCTTCCTTTTGGTATGAGGATTCATTTTCCAAAGTCCTGAAACGTGTTTTATGGACATTCTGTATATATACAGGGTGAACAACTTAACTGTGCCACCATTGGTATCTCAGAAACTATTAGATTTAGAAAGAACATTAAATGGGGAACTTCAACTAGTTTTTAATGGCATAAAAATATGAATTCCAATGTTTCAAAAATGGCATTTCCAATATGGTGGCTAACTTTAAAAATTCTTATGGAACACCCTGTATTTTATAATTGTTTTAGATTATAGATGCGATTTTAAGACTTTTTTTCTCATGGCATTTTCTCTCTATACCTTCTCATTTAGTAGCTACAGCTAAGTTATGGGTTTTTTGTGTGAAGTTGTGTGTTAAACTTTGAAAAAAAACTAATGACATAATGTTTATAACCACACGACAAGCTAATTTTGGAAATTTTGTTTATTTAATACTACAGTATAAGCTATTGACATGGCAATAAAAAAACACATCTTAATCTCTTCCCTGTAGCAGCAAACCTAAGTACTCACTAAAATTAATGTTAATGAAATAGGAAATACATCTGACGATTTTTAGGGAATATTTTAGTAGAAATCCAGCCAGGTAAATGGAAATTCGCTTAGTCTGCACGTTTGCTGTGGCGAGGATATTTACCTTTAAGCTTTGTTTACAAAATTACCATATTTTTATCCACCTTTAGTTTATCTTTAGTTATCCAGCTAATAAAGGTAAAACTCTGATACCGTTACTTAGATGTCTAAGGTATTAATCAATCAACGCAAAAGCGCATCAACGCAATCAACGCATTCAAATTAGTGCAGTTTTAACATGTGAAATTGTTATCAATGTAGATGGATTGCAGTGGAATATACGTGACACGGTGTTAAACACGCACAAAATGTATAACTGTATAAATACGTATATGATTTTGGAAAATTACTAAAATCCCTTGGCACTCTTACCCTCTGGCTTTCAACACGTTACCAGGTTAAGCTTATACGAATTATTTTACTGGCCAGTGTTTATGAAAAACAGGTAACAAATTAAAATGGTTATACATTACCATTGTTTATGTTTTTAAAACACTGTTAATTCAATACTGCCCTACCACATCAGCACATCACCTAAATCTCCGTTCTCATAACAGGTAAAGAGCAATGTTGAATGACGTGACGTGGTCCAACGCTCTATGTTGCCTGTTATTATTAATTAAATATAATAGTTAGGTAATAAATGGCATATACGTCTGTCTTGGCTCAGAAATGATTGAACATTTGTGTGATGAACTTATAACACTCACTCGGGCTTTGACCTTCCACACCAGAGTCCCCACAATAATAGTAAACAGATTAAAATAGATGGAACAAAATATCATAACAATAGAGGTTGGTAAATGCAGTAACCGAGTAACACCACTAACGTTTTAACAAAGGCCCTTATAGTGTTATATATGATTTGTTTACTTTGTTCCCATTTCCCGCTATATAGAACGACCCTGTCCTGAAAAATGAACCAGCGCAAGGCAGATAATGTGAGTTGTGAAGCTGTACCTTGTTTCTCATTTAGTGTTCTTGTCTGATATTAAATTGCTTTATGGTAACTGCAAAAGTGTGAGCCAGTTGTATTGGTGTCTTAACTATCTTACTTAGCTAATACTTTAAAACATTTGAAGTCTGTGAAATATATCTGTAAGGTAAATACTATTATCTGGTCTTCTTCACTAATTGTGGTGGTACAACTGACCTGCCAAAATACAATTACAAGCAGTATTCGTAGCTTGATCAATAGCAGATTGCATTGTGACAATCCTCCACTCCAGCCCTCACAAAGATGTATACAACATTGAAATGTGAGGTTTTCCACATTTCCAAAGTACGATTACGTTACGGTACGCAGAACAAAATGTTTTTAATGGTTACCTGATGCTGGTGTGATATTAGGCAGTAAAACAGGTTCACAGCAACCTTGAGGCCGTATAGACTCACTATCTGCGGATGATATGAAACGTGCAATAATAGGCCTACCTCTCATGACAGTGACGTCATCCCACTGGGACTTACTTACACCCTCTTGAACTTGGGTTCTCTTCTACCAGGAGACTCGAACAACAATCTCGGGACACAGAAATGTAATCATTTTACCCATCATGTGTCTGTCATGTATATTTCAGGAACAGCTAACATATTTTTTCATTTTTTTTAGTTGATGATATTAACACTTTGAAATAAACTATTGGTATAGTATACTACACTAAATTATAGGCCATTGAGTAGTGGCTAGACATTCCATCCCCATGTTAAAGTTGTAGCCAGGTTTTTAATAAAATTTGTCTTAGTTGATGTGAGCCACCTACAGATTGCGCTGATCTAAATT